CTATCTAAAAAGAAATAGCTAAAACAAAAACAGCTGGAGGATTGACTCATGTGGTACACAACCTGCCTGGCAAGTATGAGGCCCTGAGTTCATTACCCCTGCACCCCAAAAAAAGAAAAAAGAAAAAAAAAGCAATCGGCATTTCTGTGAAGACTGAATGCTTTAGAAAATTCAAAGGAAATTGTTAAAAAGGCAAATTGTAAAAGATGAAGAGAAAAAGTTGCAAAATTTAGGAAGATTGCAGGTGTCTGTTCTGAAGAACCAAAGCTAAATATCACAAATTATGTTTCATGTATGTGGCTTAGACAAAGAGTTAAAGATGAAACTTCAGTATGTGGACCCATTTTTTAAAATAAGAAATTTGCTGCCTAGGGAAGCATTGTTTAAAGTATTTAATTTGATTCCCCTCTTAACCAATTCTTATAGTCATTGCCAGTCCTGATTTTTTTTTTAAATAAGAATCCTTTATTGACATTATTTTCTTTTTTATAGTGTAGATTATTTGTGAGTTCTACTTTATTGAACATCATTTAAGGATATGGTTGTTTTATTATAAATGATTATGGCTAGATTGCTGTGCAATAATTTGTCATAGGAAAATGTAACACAAATGGTATCTGTGAGGGTGGACTGAGTAGTGGCAGGATCCATGGAGGGCCAGCAGGGGACAAGGACTTAGGTGATGGGTGGGCAGGGTGGTAGTGGTTATGGTTCAAGATAGGGTGGTTGGGGCAAGCCCAACTGAAAACCAGAGTTCTTTTGAATGGAGACTTACAGATGGATGAGGGAGGGAGTTCTGTGGAGGCCTAGGGAGAGACTTTTTGTAGGAAAGGGTGTGTAGTTGGGAGCTTGGCTCTGGCTAAGGGCTATTTGAGATAGTGGATCTGCCTTCTTGACCCTCTCCCAGTCCTGAGGCTTGAGTACTATCTCTAAGCTTTTGTGTTCAAGGCTAGCACTCTGCCACTTGAGTCCAGCTCACAGCTCTACTTCTGGCTTTTTGTAGTTAATTGGAGATAAGAGCCTCAAGGACTTTTCTGCCCAGGCTGGCTTTGAACTATGATCCTCAGATCTAAGAATAACTAGGATTACAGGTGGGAGCTACCAGTGTCTGGTTAGACCAGATATTTCTTTTTCTTTTTCCTTTTTTTTCCTTTTTTTTTTTGGTCCAGTTGTGGGCCTGAACTCTGGGCCTGGGTGCTGTCCCTTAGCTTGTCAGCTCAAGGCTAGCGCTCTACCACTTGAGCCACAGCCCCACTTCTGGCTTTTTTCTTTTTGCTTATGTGGTGCTGAGGAATCGAATCCAGAGCCTCAGGCATGAAAGGCAAGCGCTCTACCACTGAGCCACCTTCCCAGCCCTAGGCCAGATATTTCTATGTAGAAATGGTCATTGGCTGTGAAGAAAGGCTGTTCCATGATGGGTCCTGCTGGTTCTACACTTCTGTTGGGACTCTGGTGTATGGGTAGGGCTGTAGAGCAGCTCACCAGATCACCATGCTTGAGAGCAGTCAGCCCTGCCTTCCCCTCCCCAGGGAAAGTGACTTTTTTTTTTTTTTTTTGGTGCCAGTCCTGGGGTTTGAAGTCAGGGCCTGGGCACTGTCCCTGAGCTGCTTTTGCTCAAGGCTAGCACTCTACCACTTGAGCCACAATGCTACTTCTGGCTTTTTCTGTTGATGTGGTACTGAGGAATCACACCCAGGGCTTCATGCATGCTAGGCAAGGACTCTACCACTAAGCCACATTCCCAGCCCAGAAGTGACTTTCTGTCTGCATGTTTGGACACAGGCAATAGGCAGCTCTGCAGGGTAGATGGATAAATGTAGCTTTCTGTTCCATGGCCAGTATGTTATAGAGCTGTGATGATGAGATGGATTGGTGTTTTCCACGAGTCCCCTGAAGCTGAGTGACTGTGGCCATTCCAGTTTTGAACATACCGTTCTGTGGCCTCAAGACTGGGGATAGCAGGCACAGCCACTGTAGGGAAACCTCCCAATCAATGCCTGTTCCAGGGCAAGTTTACTGCCCAGTGGAGTTAGTATGTACTAATCTCTCCTCCCTCCAAGGCATTCTATGCTGTTGCTTCTGCTTCTCATTGCTGGGGACCTGCACAGCACCTTTCTATGCAGGTTGTTATATTACCAGGAGAAGCCCGGGCTGCCCTTTGGCTTTTTAGCTGTGAATGCAGGCCATTCTTTTGGCTTTTAGTACATTTTTGCTGTCCAGTGTTTTCTGTTCCGATTTTGGCATTCTTTTTGCAAAAACAATGAACCATATTGCTTTTGTGTTCTCTTCCTTCCGGTTGGGCCCTGGCGGAAGCCAAACCAGAGCAGTTTGGCCTGTAGTCTTATCCTGTGGATTCCTATTCTTTGCAAACAATGACACCTTCGAAGAAAGCTAGAGGTCTGTCATTTACTAATTGGTTCTGTGGCGGTCCTGTTTCATTCATGTTTGATGCTGGCATCCTCTGGATCCTAGTGTCTTTCAGACTTGTTGAAACTGGCACTGAGGGCTTCAGCAAGAGCCAGGGCATCTGCAAAAAGGACTCAAAATAGCTTCAGCTTGGGCTTAGGAAGAAACGGGTGGGCTTGGTCCCATAGCCCATTGCATTCTGCACACAGCTGAGTTTGAGTCAAAATTCAGCTGCATGTGGGACAAAAGAATTTCTCTCCCTGAAAGCTCCCGGTTAGAACGTGAAAGGCCTCGCAGCTGAGGCCAGTGTTCTGCAGCAGATGTCACAGCTTGGGCTGCAGTTGGAACTGTCACTTTCCTGTCATCCATGTTGGAGGCTCCCAAGGCCCCAAATGCTTCCACTTTGTAGTTGTGAAGTGCAGGTTTCAGGGTGGACGTTGCCGGTATTTTTAGTCTGTAATGGCACTTGGCATGACTCCGTCCAGTTACAAGCACTTAGCTAATCCCCACAGTGCCCTGGGTAAGCATCTCTGAGTAGCTTTACCCACACTCAGGTCTGCTTCTAGAAAATAAACACTTTGTGCATGTTGGAGGTATGCTGACCTTGTGTTTGTGATGTGGAGGGGACTATGCAGCTCCTCAGGCCTCCTCTCTATACCCATGCCAGCTCAGTGTTCAGGATGGACCACCAACAGCTGACCACCATACTCTCTCCAGCACAGCTGAGCCTGGTTCCTGAATACCAGGCTTCCCTCTCTTCCTTTTCCACATGCCCTGCTCCTTATGTCCTGGTGCCTGTGCTTGTTGCTGGACTGGGTGTTGTGTGCCAGGTGCATTATCTTGTAAGAGGGAGAGGTTCCAGTAACTTACTCCCCTCATTAGCTTGCCCCCTACTAAGTTGTTTTAGGCTTTATTTATACATATGAAGTATATATCCTCATTATAAGTTTATGTAGTACACCTGAAGTTAAAGCTCCTTGATTGCCACCTCTGATCCCAGCTCTGACATAGAGGTGAGCCCAGGATATAATTGGGGCACTGTTGTCTGAAGTATGTTCCTTTATTGTTGTTGTTATTACTACTACTACTATTAGTAGTAGTAGTAGTATTTTAGTGTTGCTGGGGATCAAACTCAAGTGTTCCACTGCTAAGCTGTGTCCCCAGCCCTAGGACATATAACATAAGAACATCCTTGGTACTGCATTCCTGCGTATTTAAAATGTGCATTTGTGAAGCAGCTTTGGTACGTGGAATCATTCTCTCTGTGACTGAGCCCTTTGCTGAACATCCTTTGTAACTGTTCATGCGCATGATCCTTCTGCAGTAGCTCCCTCCCATTGTTCTGGAGACAGAACCTCTGAGGTCAGTTCTCTTGTCTTGCACACTGTGTTCTTATCAGGGCACTGATACTGGCGTGGGGATGTTACCTTTCCTGACCCCACCTACCCTAATCACCTGCCAGAGCCCCATCTCCAATTCCATCCCTTGGAGTTGGGGCTTCAGCACAGCAATCTGGAGAAGAGAGATGGGCCTATAGCAGCATGCATCTGGCAGTGGGTTGAGATGGCTACTCTGTGCCAATGCTGGCCAGGGTCCTGCCCATGGGACCCTAGTGCTCCTCAGATAGATGAATGACCTTTCAGTGGCATGTCAGTGTTCCCTACCTGACAGCTGTATTGGCCATTGGCCTGAGGACAGCAGCAGAGCCCACAAGGCAAGCAGGAGAATAGTCCGCAGCACTGTCTCATAGTGTGACACAAGATCCTCCTTGTAGAATGGTGTGTGCAAATACCCCTGTCACTCAGTCAGTGAAGCAGTGGGGGCTCCTGTGGGCAGCTCTCCACCACATTGCCCTGAACTTGCCTTCTGTGTTCCCTGTGCCCACTGCTGTGATGGGTGGTGAGGAAAGCAGAAGTCATCCTCAGCCTCAAGCCATGCCGAGAGCCCACATGTGCTTGATCATTTTCACACGACTTGTCAGTTCAGGACATTCTGGGTATATGTCTTGCTGCAGTACTAGTCAGAGGATAAAGTTCACACTGAGCATGCTTGCACTCATGGATGGAGTGGACTTTACATTACCAAGCAATGTCTTCAGGCTTCAGTTTCCTCATTGTAGGGTGAAAAGAGTAAAGGGGAGAGTGTGAGTAGTTTTAATGTCGCAGCACACTCATGGTGCTCTGCTGTTGCTCCTTCCTGTGCTGCTGCACATGGCTGCTTTACAGAAGTGAGGGAGGAGCTAAGTCCTGGAACAAGGTAGCAGTGATACTGCCTCGTGCCAGGCATGGGGTGATGATATTATATGTCATGTCTTTGGCAAAGTGACATTATTTGTTACGTGGTGTTTCTGATTTTACAGGCGGAAGAAAGTGACCTCATGAAAGTAACCTTGTATAGCTGGGGAACTAGGTCAGAACTGGTGTGTAGCTGGGGTGGGCTGTGGTTGGACCCTGGTAGTTTGAATGCGTATGACCTTACTTATCCTGGTCTGAGTGGTCAGTGGCTGCTATGGCTTTGGTCCTGTCTTGGGTGTAGGATTAGGTCCACTTCCAGGGAAAGATGGGACTGAGTATTCAGTCTTCTTCCTCCCTCAGGACTCCAGAAGACCTTTCCAGATTTGTGGTGGAGCTGCAGCAGCGGGAGCTATCGCTGAGGGAGAAGAACAACACCATCACCACCAGGTAGACTGCTCACTTGGGGTGTGTATGGGGATTCATTGCCCTGGGCTGTTGGGAGGAGATAGTGTGTACCCCTCTAGATCTTTCAGTGTCTCAAGCTGTCTTTTATTCCTATCATGAAGTACCTGAGGCTGGGTACTTCTTAAAGTAGAGGTTTATTTAGCTCACACTTTTAGAACAGCCTGGTCTAGCATCAGGTTGGCTCTGTTGGGGATTTCCTAGGATGGAGGGGGGCTCTTGTGGGAAGTTAGAGAAGGAAGAGGGCAGGGCATTTGTAATAGCTCTTGTCAGAACTGGTTAGAGTCCCCAGGGCTGCCTCAGTCCTTTGGAGATAGTACCCTTTTTGACCTTAGGGCTTCTCCTAGGCTCATCTCCCTATATTTGTATACAGTGAGTCTTGGGAATGGCTGTGCTTCATAGCAGCTGAATCTGCCCTGGTCTGAGTTAGTGGTTGGGGAGCTGAGGACTGGTGGACGTTATCCATGTTCTCATAACAAGGTGGTAAAATGAAGCTTGAAGGCCTCAGTTTCATCTTGGGTACCTGCTTGTTGGCTTCCTGGTTCAGGTGTCCCTGCTTAGCTCTGAGCATTCTTGTCTTTGTGACAGCCCGGGGTAGAAACCTAGCCCCTAGGGTACATGTGGTGTCTTCACAGACACAAGTGTTCCAGCTGTCTGGTGCCTCTGATTTTAGGTGACAGGATCTTCCCTAGCAGACTTGAGCAGCAGGCAGACTTGTTTTCTAGCCTAGCAGGGGTTCAGAGGTGGGTGGTTATAGAACCATTCAGGCCTGCCATTAGGTGTTTCCTCTGAACACCATGTGTATGGTGTCTTTGCCAACACCACTTTTTGTTTTGTTTTGTTTTGTTTTTGTCATGGGGCTTGAACTCTGTGCCTGGGTGCTTCCCTGAGCTCTTTAGCTCAAGCTAGTGCTCTACCACTTGAGCCACAGCACCACTTCTGATTTTCTGGTGGTTTATTGGAGATGAGAGTCTGACGGACTTTACTGCCCAGGCTGGCTTTGAACTGTGATCCTCAGATCTCAACTTCCTGAGTAGCTGGGATTACAGGTGTGAGCCACCAGCGCCTGGCTGCCAACATTACTTTTTAACTGACACACGCTGGGTGCCTCACATTTACTCCTGATCCTTGGATTACCTGGGCCATGAGGATTGCTGTGTGGGATCAGGCTCATTTAGTACCTAGGGCCATAGGGAGAAGCTGCATGGTCACAGTAAGAGAGAAAGAGAGAGCCCTGCACAGACTGACCTGGGGATGGGCAGGTCTGTGAGGAATGCTCAGAGCCAGCCTGCTTATCAGGCCAAAGCCTCATTCTCCTGTGGAGATAGTGGTTTAATAATTTATTAGTAGCCAGAAGGAAGGGTTTCTTATTTTGGTGGCTGATGTCACTTTGAAAATTGGCTTTTAGAAGCAGCTGGTTATGTTGGACATAATCAAATCAGTTTGCTTTAAAAAGCCCAAATGATAAAGATTGCTTTTTGCTTTCAAAAGCACTGTCAGATGAAACGGGTATGGGGAGTGATTTGGAAGCAGAGCCTGGCAATCCCCTTCATTTTACTCTATGAAACAGAATGCACTATTAAGGGAAAGGAAACTTGTTTGCTAACAGTGAGGTGTTTTCTGTACTTCTCTGCTTTGACAAATAACAGTCAGACTAGTGTCTTTTGGGTTAGTTGGGGGTGGAGTCTCAGGGAGTAGCCTGTCCTGGGTGTAGGCAGTCCCTGTGACTCCTGTCCTCTGCCCCTGTCTGAGGACTCCTGTGTTCCCAGAGTCAATGCAGCTGCCCTAGGAAAGGTGAGTTCAGGGAGTCCTGTGGACATGCACAGGGCTTTCTGTAGCCTAGAGGTCACTGTGGGCTCTACTTACTGGCACCTCTGGATGCTGAAGTGAGGTCCCGAGTACCTCCCCAGTCTGCCTCAGGATGGTCATCCAGGTCAGTTTCACTTGGGATTCTGTGGGCTGGCCATTTGTGGGCTGGCTTCACAAGGCCATGGCTCTTTGCCCATAAGATGCTACTGGTCTTGGGGCTGAATGGCTGCTTTCTATGATCACTGGCACAGTGTTTTTCCCAGACACAGTGAGTGCTAAGTCCTGCAGGACTATCTTCTCCCTAGAGTTTTTATGGTGGCCTGTGTAGTCTGTGTCTGGACTCCCATCTGTGTCTCTACAATTACTGTTCTATGTGAATGAGGGGTGGGGAAGTAGACCATCCTGTATCTGATATCGATGGAGCCCGAGCCAAAGGTGGTCACCTGTGTCTTTAGGAAGGGCAGATGTTGTACCACAGCATTACCAATAGCAAAGAGTGGCTGCCATTGAGTTTTCTGCCATTGTGATTTATCGGGCCTTGTTACTGATAAAGCATATCCTGAAGTCTATGTTGACTGAGATTGCTCTTTCCTAATGTCTTTGGCTCTGTAGAGCTTGAGGCTGGACCTGTTGATGAAGCTTGTGTTTCCTTCTGATTGGGTTGGTATCTTAGAAACAGGAAATTTGTTGAGCCCTTCTCAATGGCAAGAGACAGGGATGGGCCACATTTATAGGTAGGGAGGAGCTGGCAGCTTTATTTAGGTTTATTCAACTAAATGTCTATCTCAGAATGGACAGGGTGTCTTGAGGGCTGTTTAGAGGATTGTGCATCTGGAGTTTAGTAGCCTTTGATAATCTGTGGCAATGTACTGGTATGTTTTGTATGTGTGTGTTTCTGGAGATTGAACCCAGGGTGTTGTGCATGTTAGATGAGCACTGTACCATTGAGCCTTGGTGGGTTGATAAGAACGAGCCCTTTGGCTAGCTATGCAGCCAGGAGTAGATTCTTTGCTTGGTGGGCAAAGGACCTGTAGAGTGTCAGTATTTGCATGCAGGGCTATCAAGGAAGGCTGTTTATCCCTTCTTGAAAGGCTTTATAGAGACAGAGTACCATACATCACTAATATAAATGGGTCTGTCTGCACATGTCTCCCCATCCTCTTCACCTCTGGGCAGAATCTGATTGCAGTGTTCAGGATTTTTGCCTTTTGGCAGCCCTCACCTAGCTTTTGGTTCTTTGAGTCTGATAATGTCCCTCTTGGTTCTGTGGCTGAGGATAAGACAGTGTTCAGCTTATGGGCAAATCTCTATGTGTCCCTGGCTTGCTGTTCTCTGCACAGGTTCATCAGGCCTGCCCAGAGCCTCTGTGCTCTCATGTAATTAATGTTGGGCACAGGCACCCCACTGTTACCCCTTGACTGCTGCCTCACCTCTGCTATTGGCTACACTGTCATCCTGCTGATCGTGAGGGATGGGCACTGAACTGAGGAAGAACTAGGATTAGGAAACTTGTGCTGTGATTCTAGGGCCTCTGCTGTTTGGGATTCCTCTGCTTTGCTGGAAATATATGTCATACTTTGGAGAGATAGTGAAGGGAGCAGGGCCTGTTATGACCTGTCTGGATTTTGGAGTTCAGTGTGTCACCTGTTGGTGGGCAATGAGGAAATGAGAGCAATCTGTGCTGGTGGACATGTGCTGCCTGAGAACCAGGCTCAGTGAATCCCAAGCAGGATGTGACTTCTCCCAGGTAGACATGGATATTATCATGGTGTTGTACCAGATGAACATAAGCTCCAGCTTGATTTGCTACAAAGTGGCAGAAATAGGGCTTGACTACAGGCCTGTGTGTCTCCAGGGTTGTGTGCTGTGCCTGAAGGGGGAGTACAAATTGCTGTGGAGCTCTGGACTTGTGTCCCTTATTTCTCTCACTCAGCAGAGAAAGACCTTAGAGCTCTACATCCTGAGCACTTGTTGCTATCCAGCTTTCCTCTGTGCACCTTAAGTAGTCTGTAGAACCAAGTGCAGATGAACTGCTGAGTGATGTGGGTACGGGTGCTTGTCTGCTTGGCTATTTTAGATGGCCTAGCTAGGCTCTTCAGAAGGCTGTATGTAGTCAGCCTTCAAGTAGGTAAGAATTGCATTCACCTTGACATACTAATGGACAGTTTGTCTGGAAAGTCACCTATTGCTGCCTCTGAATCACTTAAGGCCCTGGTCTTTCCTGGATGCTTGCAGAATCTCCTTGGGCCATGCTGGGCCATTTTCCTGAGGCTGCCTTTTGGGAGGAGCTGCATTCTTGTCTAGCAAAGGGGCCTTAGGAAGCAGGTAAGGAGGTCTTCACCCTGTCTACATAGAGATTATTTACTTGCTGCCCCTATTGCCTCCCAAGAGTGAGTTAAGATCAGAATCAGTCATAATTCTTAGTGCTCTTTGTCCAAAGCAGCTAGGCCAACCTCTCAAAACATCTTGTAGTATAATGAGGCCTTGTCGCTTTTGTCAGCTGGTGTTTGTGTGAGTTATAGTGTGCTCGAGCTGTCCAGAGACCAAGCAAGGCCAGTGACCGGCGCCCAGAATTCATGATGCTAGGACGTGCTTCTGCCTCTTAGTGGCTGTCAATCTGTGCCCCCATGCTAGTGTGATGGTGAGCAGTCACCACCGTCTCTAAGCACAGGCTGCCCATGTTTGAGTCTCAGCTCCACCTTGGAGGGGTGCTTTGTTCTTGAACAGTTTAGTCTTTCCACAGCTCACAGTCTGAATGGCAGCAGTGACAGCTCTGCGGTTATAAGAATGAAGTTAACTATGTCTGAAAGATGCAGCTGAGGACTGGCACAGTAAGTGAGGTCTTGGCTCATAATCATGAAGTCGTAATCATTGTCATCTTTTGCATTGATGAACCAAGATCAGTGGCTCTTGAATGTTAGGGGGCTGACACTGGTAAGCTCCCTTTGGGTACCACAGGAGAGATGAGTCTCTGTTGTGTGGCCAGCGGCAAAAGTCAGAGGGGTGTGTTTGTGTCATGGTGGAGATGTTGGATTTGCTATGGTAGATATGGTAAGAGGAAAAGAGTTAGCAATGACATAGCTGGCTCTGCCCTGGCCTGGACCACATCCTGCAGCTGCGGCCCCTGCCAGGTCTCTTGCTTGTCTTAGCCAGTTACAGTCTTGGCTTGAGTTAGC